CAAAGGAAGAATGTCTTCTCCTTGGGGGATCCCCCACATCACAGTGCTGCCACAGGTTCTCCATAGCCCTTTCAGCATTTGACCTTCATTCTTTTTGTTTAAAGGAAGGAAAGAGTTTGCCTTTTAAAGCAACAAAATTTAATTGTTTTCTCAGAAATGCTTTTATGATGACAGGACAGCTGTGGGAAGAAAAAAAACCCCAAATTTATGCTTAAGCAAAGGACAGGGAAAGGTCAGAAAGCAATCTGTAGGACTGCAGAAACACTGCAGCTATTCCTCAGAACAATTTCTCTGAGCAATGAAAGGAGAAGTGAAGCCAATTGCATATGCCCCAAATAAAAAATAAAAATAAAGTTAAAATAGATGTCAGACTGCGTTTTTGCACTTTTTTGTCCTTGTAAAAAAATAGTGTGATTTTCAGGCCACTGCCACATCAATCACATTGTGATCTGCTGCTAATAAGGCTGGAGACAATGTAATTTCTTGTCAGTCATCAGTCAGTGGCTCTAAGAATGGATTTCATCAGCAAAAGAATCCACAACATGTGAGGCCTGTTTTTATTGTGAGATGGATCCATTACATATGAAGCATTGTATGGTGATTTCCTTATAGTAATAATTTTTTAAAAATATTTGATTCTTCCTATTACTACTTCTGCTAGCAGTTTCAGTATGTAACCAACCCCAAAAAGTTTACCATGGGAAGTGACTTGAATATCAAATAAATTTTTTGGGTAAGAAAAGCTTCCTGTGGCAAGTTAAAATCAATGGGAAGAGAAGACTGTGGTATATTGACAGGTATTATATTATGCCACTTTTCACTCCTCCTAACTAGCATATTTTTCTGGTAATGTCTCATATTGGTTTGAATGTGATGACTTAAAAAGTCAGGTACTATTGATTGTCAAATCAACAGAGCTACTTGGCCTGGAATATTTACTCAGAGGAGTAGAATAACAAAACCTAGACCTAGTTTATCATGCAAAGCACTAACTTTGTTATTTCTTGGCAGCTGACGTGAATTCCTAGTGAAGGTAACAAAGGACAATATTCTTGCTTGCCTTATATTAGACTCACCCAACATCACAGCATTCAACTACATACTGTGGTGCAGGTTAGAAAATCACAAGTGACTGAGCAGTGTTCAACTATGTCCTTACTATAAAGAATGGAATTGATTGAAAACAGAGAATGTACTCTTTAAAAACATGTTCACAGACATTCCAGTGCTTTTAGAGAGAGAAAAGTGTCAAAGTGTTAATGAAAAATGAATTGAAATATCAGAATTGAGATGTTCTCATCCAAATCAACTAAAATATTATTCAGGTAACATTTTTATTTTACAAGGAAAGCAGGGAAATATTCCCTGCTATTTTCCAACAAATTAAAAAAGTTTTAGATTTATTTATTTTTTTTTTAAACTAAAATATACCTGGATGTTTTGCCAGTATTTATTTTACTATCGTTAGTACTGTATGATTGCCCTTTGTATCTAGAAAATATATCCAGTCTTGTCTCATGGACAGGGCAATTGCTATTAGAAAGAAGATGGAGGATCCTCTTCTTTCACAAGTCCAGGGAGTTTGGCAACATGCACAAGGTGTTCCAGGGCTTTACTTGATTTAAAAGGCTTAATGCAAGTTAAATTTACAATGTAAAATTTAATGGGCTGAAAATGAACTGTTTTAAAGATCTCATTATCAGCACTATTACAGAGGTTTTACAATTATTTTGATCACAGGATGCCCCAAACCCAGTCTATTTTGTGTTTAATTTATCCTCTCTACTCTATCCCAGTGCCACACTGTTGTTTCTATGGAGAAGCCCCATGAAGTCACCCATACTAAATCATACTTCGGGGTATTCTAGATGAGTACATCAGTTTTCAGCCCTAACAGATAGGAAATTGGTAATTTGCATTTTGTACATAAGGTCTTAAGATTTAGAGAGATATTTTTAGCCTGGAATAGTTTTGATATTTGAAGCAGAGATCTGACGTTATGTTTAAATGGCACAACGCTGTGTGGTACAGAGGTCCCTACGCTAGCTTGAGTACCTTTACATGACTCAGTGCTGCCTGGCAGCAGTACCTTACAGCAAGTTCTACTGTGTGCTCAAAGTATCACTGTCAGAGCTCTGGGTCTTTGGCTGGACTGAGAGGCTGATAAGGAGAATATTATAGCATAGTATAGTATGATATTCCTGCTGTTGCTATGACAGTGCTTACAGACCAGCCCAAACCAGGCTTTGTCTGTGCTAGGTGCTCAATTATTCCCCTCATGGTACTTTTTACTCTTTTAGCTCCGCATCCACAAAACATAAACTAGCTTAGAGCTAGTTTTGGCAGAAGTTTGGCGTTTATGTATACATAAGATAAACAGGAAAACACAAATATAAGCCAGTGTGATGAGTTTTGGCAACAGAGAAAAAAACTAAAAAGAGAATTCACTGAATATGGCATGGCAGCAATTATTTTCTTTCTTCTCCCTTTCTTTCTTTCTTTTTTTTTTTTTTTTTTTAAGTCAACACATGTGATCTGTAAGAGACTGACCCAGTTCCAGCCTGAATAGGTTTCCTCTAACATAACTATGCTAACGAGCGGAAACACTAAATATGCATCACCATTCTTCAACTCATGATAAACCACTTGCTAAATTAACTGAAAACATTCTCACATTCTCAGGACTAACCGTATGTACAGTCCTGAATGTGATGGACATGTTTTATAATTTGTCTTTGAAGCAACACAGCACAGCGAAACCTGATGAAATTCCTGCATGCAAGCGCAGTGGAAGCCATCAGCTAGAGCAGCATCTGCTTCACTTCTGCTGCACAAGAAGTACATCATATTTATTGGAATTTATAAAATAATCATGCTAGAGATTCATTAGAATATCTGGTGATGTGAAAGCAATCCCACAGCTTTTAGAAGAGGGTGCTACAATGTGTTAGCAACATCAGCAGTAGACAAGGGTCTGTTATTATAACATTAAATGAAGGTAGATATATATGGTTGTAAATGAAAGTGGCTGAAGTGTGTGAGGAGAAAATAGTCCATAACCCAGCATCAGGTAGAAAGACTGTTGCTTTCTGTTATAAACTTAGGTTTCCTCTGCGTGTCAAACAGCAGTCAAACACCACACAGCCACTCACCATCCCCTGCCCAGGGAATGGAGGATTAATTGGAGGTGTAAAGGGTGACTTTTAGGTTGAGATAGAACCATTAGTAATTGTAATTAATAATTGTACTAAAATAAAAATATAATAGGAATTACAAATGGGTAATGCACAATGCGCTTCCTCACCACCTGCAGGACTGATAGCCAACCTGTTCCCCGCTAGCAATCCTGAAATACCAAGATCATGCAATTGCAATCCTGGAAGCAAGATAGAACCCCCTCCTTTCCATCTGCCCCTCATCTATATAATGAGCATAACGGTACATGACATGGAATATTCCAACTGCCAGTTTGGGTTCGTTGCTCTGGCTCTGCTCCCTCCCAGCTTCTTGTGCACCTGCACACAGGCAGGACACAGAGAAATAGAGAGTCCCCGATCTCTCAGAAACAACTGAAAACATCATTGTATTATCAGCCTTCTCCTCATACCAGATCCCATACTGAATCCAAACCACTGAACTATTCTAACTACTAAGAAGAAAAATTAACTCTATCCCAGCCGAAACTAGGACACTGGAAAGGAGATGGGTATGGATATTTTCAAAGTAATCTTCAAAGTTTGATGTGGAAAAAAAAAATTAAGGAGGAGTTGGAAACCAGAATGTCAAAGGACAGAAGCATTCCCCTACTGCCAAGACAGCTTCATGAAGGGAATTTGGTGACTGGCAATCCAGACTGCCCACAGGATTCCTGGTACAGGGGGTACTGTAAAAGCAGAAGAACGGTTTATGTGGCTACAGGTTTATTTAACATCACAGATAGTCATGAAAGAAGCCTTCACATTTTTTAGTTGAATATGTAAGATTAGTACCTTCTGAGAAAGCTTTTAAAACCATTAGAAAAAGCAACAGATTGGGTGATTTTTGTGTACCAATAAAAGCACAGTGAAAGAGAGCTGCTGAGTAATATTAGCACCTCAGGTAAATGTGATCAAACCTTTAGAGAAGAGTATTTCAAGAATATAATGACAATATCCTATGAAATATAATGGAAACAAATGAATGGCTACAAAGCCTGCAAACATTTGGAAAATTATATTCTCACTGCTATTTTGTCACAATAATTTCTGGCAAAATAAAAAGGAAGAGTGGAAATAAATTAGCATCTTTATTCTCTCTCTTTTTTTTTGTTTTTTTTGTATGTAAGATCTGTCTTTCCCTCACTCCTTGTCTTCCTTATGCAGGCATGTGTGTCCAGAGTAAATCAGTCTCTTACAATCATTGATTTTGAAAATTCAGAACATACTTCTGGCATTTCCAAAGGACTCACATAGATGTGGGAGCCCTGTACCTTCCTTTACCCAAGCGAGTTCAACCTCTAACCCAGTTTGAGCTACTAAAAGACTTGATCTGGTTATGGATGGATCAAATTTTTAATCCAAATGCTGGCCTCCCAATTTGTAAGATATTCACCCTAAAGCTCATACCTATGTATCGCCAAGTATGTTTCTGAATGACACCAGGTAGCTTTTGTTTAAATCCATGTTTTTTCTAACGAAGTAACCATGGCATTGTGCTAGTAGGAATTTATTGTTCAACAGCTCAAGACTATGGAATATTCTGCCAGACCTGCTATGACTACAGGCATTCCTCATGCATTTTGTTGTATTATGGGATTTAAACAGGTAATATATATTCGTACCAATGAGAGATGTGGTTTTAAATCATCATGTTTAAGATGTAAGTGTACAATTTGACTTGTTTGTAAGAGGTATTAAACAATTTACGTGCTTAATTAATAAAAGCTGAAGCATTGGGTCTATTGTGTTTTTTCTCAGGCAGATAGTTCTCCCATACTTTGCCTCTGGCACTAAAGCATTTACCTTTAATGCAAAATGGTCCATCATAGGCTGTTTTGGAGCAGTCACAGGAGTAGCCGTTGTATTTCTCGACACATTTACCGCCGTTTGCGCAGTACATCCCATAGCTCGTGCAATGGCCAGAGCAGCCAGGCTTCACCCCTGGCGTGACTTTTGCTCTCTCTTCCAGGTCCAGCGTCACCCCGTTCATCCTTAACGAACGAATGCAACCCAGGAAGCCTCGTTGGCCTCCTGCAGCACCTGAGAGGGAATGTAAAACTGTGAGACAGCACTGAACAGATTTTTATTGTTGTTGCTTTACATGAAATATCCTGCTAAGCTTGTGACAACAGCTGGAAGTAGGTAACTTCTTTGTAAAGGCAAGAATTGTATTGTCCTAATGACAGCGAAATCACTGAAACCTAACCTTTTGATACCATACCATAAGTAAGCATAAATAATAGGTGTGTTTGCTTTACACTGCTCAGACATTAGAGATTCTAGCCCTCCACTGGAAGACCTCATTTCATTTCAGGATTTTTAGAGGTAACAGTGGAAGAAATGGTCTTGACTTGATTGAGAAGGTATGCTAATGAGATGGATGCTAATAATAATGCCATAATATGTTATGCAGTGTTACATTTTTCAAAGCCATGATGGGGAAAGAAGGAAAAGATTTAAATCCCCACTCAGTTACAATAGGAAAGACAGATGTTCATTTCCAAGCAACACTGGGTATATTGTTTAGCTTCTTGAGTATAGTGTGAAGGATGTAACACTGAAGAGCTACATTTGAAACTTTGGGTGGAGATGGCTTTTCTTAGCAGTCACTAAGAACTATTCCTTTTTTTCCCCTTGTAAGCACTTGCTGAAAAATGTGATTTCAGCTAGGAAAGTCTTATCTGGGGCTGGATTAGAAACAAAAAAACCCTAAAAAATACAAGCTAGTAACATTGAGTGCCTGTCATCCCTTCTCCTCATCCTCTCATCTCTTTGATTACTGCAGTGCCACAGGTGATGAAGAGTCCCTGAGGAGATCTGAATGCTCATCACCACAGAGCACAGAGACTGATATTTACCTGAGTGGGGAAGAGGACTAAATACACACCAAAAAGAGAGGGTTGCTTCCAATTAGCTGCTGGTAACTGAATGTTTTGGAGTAAGAGGCAATGCTCGGTTTCTTCTGAGTGCAACAGTGCAGAGGGCATTCTGGTGTGGTTCAATTCTGTGTAAACTCGTATACTGCAGTGACAAGAAAACCCCCTAATAATCTAACTTCCTTCTCTCCCCTCTGGTGACTGTCCTCGCCCCAAGGACACAAAAGTCATCATTCCTCTGGCTCTCTTGTTGGCCCAAGGAATAGATATTTATTCTACAGCAAGTGGAACAGGAGACACCAAAACAAATCTTGTTCAGTATTATTCTCCACGCCCTGATGTTCAGGGTGTTCATTCGGGATGCTCCAACTCATACCAATTCTGTGGGTAAAGAAATAAATTTGTTCTTTGAGATGTGTCCTCCAACAGCAAGTCATATGAAATGGATATGATGAAGAAAGAAAGAGAATCTGGTGTGGATTTGGACATTCAGTTTTTGACAATAAAGGTACTAGGTGTTTCGAAACATTGCTGTTATTCAGCAGCTGTTATACAGTTAATTCAAAGCTACCAATAAAAAGCTACCAATAAAAATCAACATTATCAACAATTCCCCAAGAGCTCAGGCTGGAAAAAAATCCAGTTCTTCCTGTTTTCAGTAGCAAGCTTTATATTTCTTTTAAAAGGCTAAGGCTCCCCCCTTTAAACCAACTTCACATTTCAGTTTATTTTGAAACTGCCTTTTATTGGGATCACAGCAGTAAAGGAGAATCTGAGCTTGTAAATAATGACTGCACATCTGGTGACATATTACACACACTTTGCAGTGACACTGTGCTGCCTATTAAGGCAGTGAAGGCTTTAAACATAATTTTAATTAATTTCTCCTGTTGAACCCTAAGTAATATGGGAAAAAAAAAAAGAGATAATGTCTTTTTTTCCTTCCCCCTTCCCTCTTCTCCTGTTAACAGATATCTAGAGAGGTAGGGAAGTGCTTCTTTGCTCAACATTTCATGCAGTTCTGATTCCAGATAATGGCACTTGGCATATCTGCACTTCGCAGCAGTCAGAGAAATACAAGTGCTGCTGGAATAGCCTGCCCAAAACGTACCAGAGATCAGCAGCTGGACTACCTTGGTTCCAGGGAATGCATTTGTGTAACACTGTGTGATGCTTTCCTACATCAAATGGGCAAACAGCCCATGGGACTGAAGGGAAAAGACTGCAGTGAGAGCTGTGAATGCAAAAGCATGGGCAATGATCAAACCTTGAGGCTGAAAGTGCTGCCGAGGCTAGGATAGGCACTGCAGGCACATGCACTCCTGGCAAGACCTATGCAGAATTTTTCACTTCTGTGGTGAATAAGTGTGTGTGTGTGAGAGACAGTTGGCAAAAAAGGTGTTTGGCACTAGTGACTGCTAAAGGCACTTTTATCCAAGAGCTGCAGGTGGGGAAGGAAAAATGACAAGTTGTCAGCACAGAATATTTTTCTCTTAGTTGATCTTTTTATTTCTGTAATTATGGACATACTTGACTTTTTTTTTTTTTTTTTTTTTTTTTTTTTCCGCCTGTGCTGTCATGCAAGTGCTTCAGGAGAGCTATTTCCCACATTAAACTAACTGCTGTTGGCAAGACACGAAGCAAAGAGCGTTCAGTGTGAGAGCAAAGCCCAGTTACCTGCTCTGCATCTTACCGACATAGAGCTGGCTGTACAATTCCAGTCGCGTGTGTCCTTCTGTTGGTGCTTTACGCACCTCCACAGGTAACTGGTCTACCTGCAGGCTGGCTTGTTTGACATTCCTCTCAGCATTGACCCGATGCCACTGGTCATCATTGAGCTGGTTGGAAGATCTAACGACGATCTCCACAGGCCCATTTCCAACATCAAATGAAAAGGAAACCTCTGTAGCAGCTGAAGCAACAAGCAAAAGGGAACCCATCTTATGTTGTAAACAAATTCACTTATACTTCCTAAACAGAAAGGAGTCATATTTACTAGAAATATGCACTGCTCGGCCACTTTTCAGAATTTATAAGCATGTTCAGTTCCTTCTAACCTGAGTAGGAGTTAAAGTATTTCCAAGGGAGCCACTGTGAAAAGTTTCTATAGCATGTGATAGAAATCAAATCAGTCTGGATTGTAAAATTTAATCAGAATAAATTATATCCTCAAAGAGGATTTTTTTATTTTCACTAGTAATTTCAATAATATTGGAAAAACCTGTTCACCAGCTTTTAGAAGAAAACAACAGACCCTGAAACATTGACATTATTTTTTGATTTCTACAGCTTTCCAATTTCTATATTTTTTTTTTTAGAGAAATATGCATTTTGATAAAAAAAAAAGTGGTGCAGAAGAAGTGCTTTTTTCCTTTTGAGGGGCAATTACTTTTTACAATTATCTAATAATGCAGTGGTAATGACCTATGTGAGACTTTGTGGCTGAAAAAGAAATGGATTCTTAGCAAGCACTGCAGTGCTCTATTTAGAGTGGATGATTCAAACATGTTGAGAAATCTTACAAATGTCCATTTGGGTCTACTAGACATTCCTCCATGTCATTCTCAGCAAACTATATAATTGATACTTACTACTAAACAAGGAGCATGATTAATAAGATATAGATGATTTTACAATTAAGGAATACAATTTTGACTTTCCTACTGATATTTAGTTTATAAAATTTGGGGCTGTAAATTATATTATGGTGGTAAAACATGAGGTGAAAGAGTCACTGGAAAACAGATTATCAGTGATAGCATTCAAAAGAAGGACACTAGACAGAAGTAAAGACGATCAAGAGTTCTACTTAATTTGGGTTTTTTTAAAATGTATAAAATAAAAAAGCTGCAGCACCCTTTTAATTCTTCTGAAAAATCTCGGGTGCCCAATTATGGTCTCAGTGTTCCAGTCTGGCTGAGGTTTCTTGTTTGGTTGAATTAACAAAACAGTCTTGCAAAAATCTTCCTCTGCAAGACTATTAAATTGTGGTAGAAGTACTACTCTATGATCATTATCACTAACAATGCTGATAAACAGTGGGAAATATTTTTGTACATGGCCTAATAGATTTTCACAAGGCTACGTCGGACTGAATTAAATGCATTTTTATGAGAACTGGAAGGCTAGGAATAAACTTTTTACAGAGAATATTCTTTCAAACCAAATTATTATAAAATTTACACCTTTGCTTTTTTTTTTTTTTTCTGCAAAATTTGGTATCTCTAAAAGAAAAAAATTAAAAGCATATTTTATTGCTGTTGTACTCTCTGTTCTCTGCAGAAAAAAATAATTTCATTTCTTGAATGAACTGCCTTTCATAAGCCATGAATTTGGTCTGTTTGGCCTTTTGCACTTTACAAGACAGAAAATCTGTATGAGCCAAAGCTTGCCATTAAAGAAATAAAGATGTTTCATTTTAATGTTATTATGTCTCATAACTTCAGCGGTTTTGCCAATAAACTCAGGCAAATTAGGAATTAGAGTAAAATCTCTCCAGTACTTAAATTGTACATTGTGTTCAAGTCTATTTTCAAGGGGTGTGTGTGTGTAATTCTCCTTTACTTTTTGCTTTGAAGAACTGCTTTAGATGTCTTCACTGTCAGGCTTGAATTGCTTCCCAAAAAGCCATCTGTCTCCAAGGCTGTAAAATGAGAACCCTTTAGCAGAATTTTCATCTTATCCTGAGGCAACTGATGGCACTGTTGCTACTGCTTGTGGGTACCTTGAGTACAACCTCATCCAGGTTTTTGAAAATCTATGCAAGAATACTGCTTTGTTTGTAAACTGTCTTCTGGATGGAAACATCAGTAATTTTTTAAAGGAAGATTATTCTTCCTTTAAAAGAGAAAGTGTAGAGAACTGGCAAATAGAGATATTTCTAGTAGAAGTTCTGTGCCTACATAGTCTAGCTTTATGAATGGCTTTAAACCGAAATCCATATCACAGCCTGAAAGATGAAATTTGTAGTTATTGGAGAAAGTTATTCACTCTGACATGAGTACTAGTTGTGTAAATTCATATTATATTCTTATATTTAATCTTATAGTTAGGGAAAGAAAGGCATTCCAGAAAAATCTTTTCATCAAAGTCTCTTTTCAGTGCATCTACTTGCTGACATGCTGAAAGTTAGAGAAGGCAGTACAGCATCAATGGACTGTGCTGATTCATCCCCAAGCAATCTGAAAACACGTCTCATAAACCAATGCCCTGGTTTCAGCTGGGATAGAGTTAATTTTCTTTAAGTAGCTGGCACGGTGCGTTTTGGATATATTGTGGGAATAATGCTGATAACACACTGATGTTTTAGTTGTTGCTATGGAGTGCTTATGCTAAATTAAGGAATGTTCAGTTTCCCATGCTCTGCCAGCGAGGGGTGCACAAGAAGCTGGGAGCAAGCACAGCCAGGAGAGCTGACCCCAGCTAGCCAAAGGGCTATTCCATACCATAGCACATCATGCTCAGTGTATAAATCCGGGGGAGTTGGCCAAGAGGGGAGGATTATTGCTTGGGATATTGGTCAGCAGGTGGTGACCAATTGCATCATGCTTTTTTTTTTTTTTTTTTTTATCCCTTTTCATTACTATCATTATTATTATACTATTTTAAAAATTATTATTGATTTTTAAATTGTAGTTATTAAATTGTTCTTATCTCAACCTGTGAGTTTTACTTTTTTTTATTTTCCTGATTCTTCTCCCCCATCCCATCAGGAAGGGGGAGGAGTGAGCAAATGGCTGTGTGGTGCTTAGTTGCTGGCTGGGCCTAAACCACAACCTAAGTGGAGGAAACTTGCTAGACTGATGGGCTGAAATGAGCTTTGCAGATGAGCAGAGGCTGCATGACTCACGTGTGAGTTATGATGCTTCTTCGGACTCTTTATCCTCAGATTCCATTGGAATGAATTTTCAAGTCTACAGATTAAGTATACTTTCCAACCAGCATCTCTAGGTAAAATCTCTTAAGGTACTTGTACCTTAACAGAAATGGATGAACGTCTGATCACAGGCATGTTAGTCATAAAAGGAAGACAAAGAAATTGTATTTTCCCCCAATAAATAAGACTGGGGATCTGGTGACAACTGACATGGAGAAAACTGAGGTACTCAACAATTTTTTGTCTCAATTTTCACTGACAGTTGCTCTTCCCTCATCCTTCAAGACCCTGAAACTCAAGGCAGGAACTGGGGGAATGAAGTGTTCAAGGTCAGGTTGGATGGGGCTTTGAGCACACTGAGCTGCCCCCGCTCCTTTTTCATCTACCCCACCTTTATTGCTGGGTATGGTGTTGTATGGTATGGAACATCCCTTTGGCCAATGGTCTACTGTCCTGGCTGTGTCCCTTTCCATCTTCTTTGCTACCCTCAGCCTACTGACTGGGGAAAAAGTGGGAAAGAGAGAAAGGCTTGACGCTGTGCAAGCACTACTCAGCAACAGACAAAACACTGGTGTGGTATCAACACTGTGTGTTAGCACAAATCCAAAACACAGCACCATATGGTCTGCTGTGGAGAAAGTTAACTCCATCTCAGCCAGACCCAGTACAGCATCAAATTTGTTCAGAAGTTCAGCATAACTAATTATGTAGAAAATAAGCAGTTAGTTAAGTCTTTTTATTAAGTATTGTTTACTTTTCAATCTTTTTATGTCTACACATACAGCCTTGAATGATGTGGTATGTCTGACTCGAATACATCCTTGATTGGCACGACAGTGGTATTATTCTGTCTAACTTTTGAAGAGGATGATTAAAAGATATCTAACCAACATGTGCATATCTGACTATTTAACCCCAGTGATCAACAGAACCAGAGCAGGATTTTTTCAGAAACATGTAGCAAATGAGAGCACAGGTCCTAGAGATTTCTATTAGTCAGTCACCTTGTAGTTCATGAAGTGAGTTTTGTGAATGATCTTTTTATTTGCCATTCTACCAAATACGATAAAACTCAAAGCACTTGTTTTAAGAAATGAGAATGAGGACCAGACATTGAACAAATGTCTGAAATTGTTTAATTATGAAATAAAAAAAAGAAAACTAATGTGGGTTTTAGTTTATTCCGTCAGTACAAGATTTTGTAATGGAAACTTCACTAAATTGAACAAAGGTGAACTTTTTATGTGCTTCTGCCACATATTAAATATTGCCTCAATAAACTGAGGTTTGTGACTTAGTTTCACCCTTTCTGTGCCTTCTGCAATTACATATAATCAAATCTGAACACGTTTATTTCATTGATTCAGTTTTCTAAGGTCTCAGGTCATTGTCAACCATCTGTTCAGAACTTTGGCAAACTAAATGCCCTTCTCACTCTTTGTTTTGTGTTCTTGTTTTTTTAGGTCTATTCAGATCCCACTGTTTCCTCATCTTAAATTTATGAGGCATTTGTCCATAAAAAGTAAGAGACATGACTGCGCCACCCTGAAGGAAGGCCTGGACAGGCTGGAAGAGAGGGTTAACAAGAACCTAATGATGTTCAACAAGGGCAAGTGTAAGGTCTTCCACCTGGGAAAACATAATCTGGGAGTGCAGCACAGGCTGGGAACTATCTGGCAGGAAAGCAGCTCTGTGGAAAGGGACCTGGCGGTCCTGGGGGACAATGAGCTCAATATGAGTGAACATTGTGCTACTACAGCAAAGAAAGGCCACAGGGTGCTGGGCTGCATCAACAAGGGCATCACCAGCAGAGATAAAGAAGTCATTGTCCCACTCTACTCAGACTTGTCAGGCCACACCTGGAATACTGTGTTCAGTTTTAATCCCTGCTCTACAAAAATTATGTCGACCAGCTGGATAGGGTCCAGAGGAGGGCCGAAAAGATGATCAAAGGACTGGGAAGCTTGTCATGTGAGGAAAGGCTGAGAGAACTGGATTTGTTCAGCACTGAGACGAGAAGGCTTAGGGGAGACCTT